TATTGAACAGAAAAATGAAGTTGAAGTTGAAACTAATTAAATAAGTATGAATTAAAAATTATAGTAAAAATTAAGAAATTAAAATGGATAAATTTTTTAATAAAATTAAAAGATTTTAATTCCCCAATGATTTGGTAAAAAAAAATATTTAATCCACTAACCGTTTAAATTCTAATAGTTAGCTATTAATCCCAAATTGAAAAATTAAAATTGTTAACTAACACTTAATTTATGGAAATTTTAAAATAAACAAGTTCATTTAACATTTAATTTTAACAGTTTGGGTAAAATCATTAATCATTATCTCTAAATTATTATATCAAATGGGTCCTTAGTACCAATAAATAAAATAGGTCTATACAACAGAATATTTGTAAATACAAAATTAATTTATATAATTATATACAATCAACTAGATTTTATATACAATCAATTAAAGTGTGAACATACTAATATAATATTCTAACACCCCAGCATGTTGCTATCTTGGCATAAAAAACTAGTGATAGACTCACTAGGTTCCTATTTTAAATTGTGTAATTCTTCCCACAATTAATACTAACTAGATAAATCAGAAGTAGCATGCTTTGTTTCAAGCAAATCCCATACCTCCTTAGCTTTATCATCCCGTCCAAGCTGGAGGTGGATGGAGGGAATGGAGGAATTACATAACCTAATGAATTTTGCTATTCTAGTCCTCTTAAGTGTTCCGCAAATTTCTCATCCATGCCTCACCGGTAACTTCCTTTGGAGGTTTAATATCCCCTAACTTATATCGATATAATTTTCGTCCCTTCTAGAAACTACGCATTTCTTGAATCCAGAGTAGGTAATTTGATCCACTAAGGATTGTGGAAATTGGTTGTGCTACATCGATCAGACTTCTCCATAATGAGAAATAATCGAAAGAGTGAACCATACGACAGACGTGTTATCATTGTAAAACAGTAATTTAATATTCCAATGTTATTATAGAAGCATAATAAGGTTACCAAAAAATCTTCCATGTAATATATATTTTTGTCTTGCAAGGCTGAGGTTACGGTAACACGAGCAGACTTGTCACTTGCACAACATGGCCAGTGATGGAATAGATAGCCCACTCACCGAACTAGTCACTAAGTTTGGGAAACTTACGTCATTGAAGGAAGCCAATACAAATTCATTGCCTTATATTCGGGAGGTTCCGCATAAATTGAGATCGTGCTACAATAAGGAGGATTGCAAACGATATTTCCAACCAACTTCTGTTGCGATCGGTCCCCTGAACCATCAAAGAGAGCCTAACGAACATAAGAGAATCCATAGAGGTGAGGAGTGCAAGCTAAAACTGGCGAAAACGTTCATTGAGGAATGTGAGGGCAAGGTGGAACATTTCTACGAGAATGTCATGAAGGGGATAAAGAGCTTGAAGGACTGCTATTACTTCAAAGGAAAGAATTGGACAGATCAGGAGTTGGCCTCTATGTTCGTAGTGGATGGCTGTCCATTGTTGCTTTTCATAGTCCTTTATGTGGACGATAAGTGGGAGGGATTCAGAGTTACTCATGATCTAGTTGGGATTCCGGTGGTTGATTTTTTCTTACTCGAGAACCAGCTGCCCTACCAACTTCTTAAGATATTGATAGAATCGTACGCTGAAGCCTCAAAAGATATTGATTTTAAGAGGTTATTCAAGGAATACATCACCGACTTCATCAATAAGAGTTTCTTGAGTCTGATTGCGGCGCACCAACACCGAATTCAGATTGATCATTCTCATGAGCAACAAGAAGAAGAAGACCCTGTTCATCTTCTAGACTTGTTGCGAAGAAGACTGATGGGAGACAAATCGAAAAAGAAGGGCGCCAAGGAACAAGAACGGACTAAAGAATCTGGTTCGTTGCATACAGTGCGAAGAATACTGATGGGAGTCAAATCGAAAAAGAAGGGCGCCGAGAACCAAGAACAGACTAACAAATCTGGTTGGTTGAAAAAAGAAATGAAAGGTGATAAAAGCAGACTCTCGTTTTCAATTCGCAACGTAAAGGAGCTGAAAGACAATGGTATTCGTTTTGAGGCGAGGGAAAAGGTAGATTCCCTCACAAAGATTAAATTTAATGACCGTCGTTGCATGCCAACCCTTAAGCTGGCTCCCATTTTTTTGCACAATACCACCATGCCATTGTTGCTGAATTTGATGGCGTATGAGCTGTGTCCGTATTTCAAAGAAGATTGCAAGATCATCTCGTACTTGTCATTCCTCGACTCCTTGATTGATAATAGCGAGGATGTGAAGGAACTGAGAGATGCAGGCGTGCTGCACCACGGATTAGGAAGCGATGAAGCTGTAGCGAAGCTGTTCAACAAGATCAGCCGCATCCTGGTGCCAAATCTTAAGATGGACTCAGATTTCAGACGTATCCATGAATACTGCAGCAACAAATCACACCCCCGCAATATATGTGCCAGCTTCGTGGTTAAACTCACTGACACCTATTTTAGTAGTCCTTGGAGCTTCTTCATCTTCCTCGGTGCCTTAGCAGGTCTTATTATGACAGGAATCCAAACTTATACTAGCTTCCAGGGATAGCTCCCCTAGTGAGCTTTAATTACTGTATATATTTATAGCATTCTTAAAATATGTCTTAGGTTTCAAACTTTCAATCGGGTTGGTAAAACGTGCTTAAATCACAAGACTTTGATTGCATCTTTGCAGATTATTGACCCAGTAATTTGAACAGGTGCTAATAAAGCACGTATATCGTATAGCAAATGATGTGGTTGATACATTTATCAAGTATGGAGCTCTCATGGAAACCTCTTTTGTCACTTTTGATTCTATTCTGTTTTTTTGTTTCTCTAGTTACTCTCATATAGAAATAATTGTATTGTGTATCGGATCATTTTTTCTAAAACTTAATTTGCTTCAATAATTTCCCATTTCCACCGAAAAAAAAAACAATTTTATATATTTTTTGCTGTTATTACTGTTATTATATTTGTGATATTTTTTTATCGAATATTTATTATTATTATTTTATTTATATTACAATTAATAAAATCAATATTATTTTACCTTTATTGTAGTCCCTATGGACTACACCGTTAGCTAATAAGTTCGTTAGTATAGGGCCCATTAGTACACATATTGACAAGAAATAGTCATCAGTATTGTAATAATAGAAAACTACAGAGACAGTTATTTATGAGCAATATCTTTAAATTGTTTTGTACAATGATGGATGTGATATACAGATGACAACACATTAGTATTGTTATTATTTTGTCAGTAAATATTGTGATGTTTAGTGACACATTATTCGTCGGTATATTTCTTAAGATATACTGACGATTTTTTTGGCAATCTATTTGATAAGATTTATACTGATGCCCCTTCGTCCGTATAGCTTTTTTTTTCAAAAATGATAAGACTGCTGCATCTGGATCCCTTTACTGCCCAAATGCACAAACCAAATTTGATAAAATTCACAAATCCACTTGAATTGTTGTTGGAATACACGAAACTTACTTCCATTAACTAAATAACAAGCATAATCCATCCAATAGAAACAAATTTGACAAAACAAACCTAATGTAATTCCATAAGTTCATAAATCTAATTGGCCAGCACTTACACCAAGAATTGCAACAATTTTAACACATTTATCACATGTTTATGAAAAACGTTAAAAATATAAAAAAAAAAACCCCCTCAAATGAACTGGAGAAGAAGAAGTCATGAACAAGAATTGCAACATTTTCAAAAAAGAGTTAGATATCATAGTTTGAGCCTTTAAAGGAAGAATCACACTTTGTTTTCCTCTTCCTTCATTACACTTATCAATATAGATATATAACCAAAATTAAATCAAAGTGAGCATTTAATCAAATAGAGCATGGCTCTTGGGATATGCAATGATATAACATTCTTTGATTCATATCCCAAAATGTATTTGGA